GAGGAAGTTAAGAAGTACTGGGATAAGAAGAGTAGCTCATTGCCAAAAACTCGCAACTTACAATTTCAGTCATGATTGAAACCGAAACAGCTATGTTATTGACATATATTTGAGAACCATCGCGCTCCACTCTGGACACTGCTGAACAAAGGATGTGATGTCACCGAAAAAGGAGTGTACTACTCGGAGTACAAGTCTTCAAGCGAAAGACAGTCGGTCAGTCTGGGAGCACTTTCAATAGGCAGGTTAGTATTTAAAGGTATGGTAGATAGTTTTGCTTCTGAACATGCATGCAGCTCTTTGTGTGTTCTCTTTTCATTCTGGTTTTTACAAATAGGATAGCGTCCTCTTTAGCCCTTTTCAAACTTCCGTTTGAATATGCCTTACACCATCTCTTTAATAAAAAAATCTCTATATTTCCTTTTTAATATCACGTATTATTTTATAGAAAATTTTGAAAGTTTTAGGATGAGATGAATGTAATGGGATAATCCCAGAAAACGAGAAAAATCTTAGTTCAAAAAATTTCAACTCTATAAAACAAAGTAATATCTAGGATTGGAATTATCGGCAAAGGTGTTATTGCTTGTGGATTAGCAGCTACTATAGGTATACGCTACAGTGCATGTCGCAAGCAGTTTGGACCCGCCAAAGGAGGTAAGTTGAGTTCGCCAGCAGAAAAGTCCTATGACTGGTTGTTATTCAGTTGCAGTCAAGAGTCAGTCATCTTTAAAGATAAACTTAATTACGAGTTCTCGATGAATTTCAATCTCCCTTGGAACTTCAAGACATAGAAAGACTGGGAAATCCAATATAACCATACTTACCGTCGGAGCTTTCAAAATTTAAAGCAGGTTTATCTCCCGTCCATCTAAACAATTTTTTCAACAAAATAGCAAAAACAAGAGTCCTACATTCAAATCTATTCCAGTCTAGAAAGGTGGATCGTAACTGAACTTTTTATTTCGTATCAGGAACCTAATTGAAATGCTCCACAAAATATTGGGTCATCTACACTTTTGTTATTATAATTATGTCTATTCATTGAACACTCAATGCGTTCCTCCACAGTACTTCTTAATCCATTTCCCTCTACTACAATTTCATGATATACAAGCAAAGTTCTAATTTAGAAGAGATTCCAGTGCTAGATTATCCACTGCAACGACATCGTCTGTTTCCATTCTTAGCTGGACATTTTACACTGCGAACATTTCAGAATAAGTTAGCACTTTTCGTTATCTGAATTCTTTCGACAAATCATAGCTATAATTACATTTACTTCGGTTTCGATACTATAAAAATTGCATATGATTTCAGGTTCTGGGAACACTTCACTGGCTATATGATGCGCGTAATGCAAGGAGAAAAATCTACTG